AGAAAAAGGCACTGTCTTCAAGGAGCTTACTCTTTTGCATGTGTGTGCATGTATGTATTATAGACAAACAAATAAATGCCTGACAGATGACAATGAGGCTGTGACAAAAAAAATCAAGGCAAGAAAGGAGTCAGAGAGTGAAAGGAGTTGCATTTTCAGATAGGCAATCAGAAAGGGACACTCTGTTAAGATTAAGCAGAGAATTAAAGGAAGTGAAGGAGGAAGCCACACAGAAAGGCAGAGGAAACAATAAGAATAAAGGCTGTGAACTTTCACTTAAGGTTGTTTCCTTCGATCTATAGGCCTGCCCTACAAATGTACACATCATACCCCAAATTTGGAGATGAGAAAATTGAGGCTTAGCAATTAAGTGACTTTCTCCAAACTACAGCTAATGCCTGACAAAGCCAAAGTCAAACTCAGCTCCTCTGATTCTAGAGACAATTCTGTGAACTCAGGGAGCCCTCTGCATTCTGAAGAGTGAGAAACGCTATTGCTGTCACCTTGCGGTAGGATCACGGAAGCAGGCATGGGGTAAGCAAGAGCAAAGAGGGGCCAAAGAGCAGGATCCTGGGCTTCGCCCCTGGGCATCTCCCAGCACCTCCTGTCTGCCTCATGGCCCCCACGCACCTTCTCACCTTGGTTTGGTGGTGGTTTTCTGAAGTCATCGTCTGGATCTTAGTGAGTTCACTTTCCAATTCCCTTCACCTTTGGAGTGAGGCCTGGGGGAGAGAACTAAATCAGGGAGAAATACAGCCTCTTTCACCAGGCTTGGCACGTAGCTGCATAAGCAAATAGCTGCAGGAACCAAGGTTTAATTTCCCTGCCTGGGTCCCAAACTGTTTTTCCATGTTTGTTAGGGAAAACGTTAGTCAAGGGAGCAACATCTTTTGAGGACATCAAGTGAGGCCAAGTCCTGTGAGTCCTCTCTCCTTATTCAGTGATTGTCCCACATGACCCTCTCCCATTGGCCTCTCATCCCCTAAGTGGCTCTTGGTTTATAAAGTTCTCTCAACCCCAGAGAGGAAGCCAATGCTGTTAGTAGACCTGGGAGCCTCACGGTGCTCCTGCAGGTCACCAGAGTCCGTGGGGATTCCTCCAGTGGTGCTCTGAGCCTCTAAGAAATTAACCTTACAGGCAGGCCCAGCAGCCAGGGTTGCAGGTGTATCATTCTGTGAAATGAAGTGACAGAGGGAGATGGCATGGTGTGGGGGAAAAACACAGGCTTTTGTGCCAGATTTGCTGGGGTTTGAATTCCATCTCTGTGGAGTACTGTGAGCCTGTTTTCTCAATTGCATGAAACCCAGGACAAATCATATCTCTGTGAAAGATAGATCAGTGTATCACAGCATTGTTGTAAGGCTTAAATGAGATAATAAAAGCCCAGCAGAATCTGGCCCACCAGAGGGCCTCAATAAACACTCTCTTTTTCTCCCCTTTTTGGAGGGAGGCTTATCTGCCTACCAACATATGATGCATGGAGATGGGGTGGATGACAAATAGGATTTGAGACTCTGAAGTGAGTCTCAGTCCATCCTGACACTCTTGCCCAGAAAGTTTTCTTCATTTAACTCATCTCTGGTGACTTAAATGATTTATCAGAAATTCATTCCATCGGGTTGGACATTGCTCACCATCTAGGTTGTTTCATTGCATTTCAGTTAGGAAGGGGTGGGACTCGGATTTGAAGACACCAGGTAGTCTAATACCTGACCATGGTCTTAACCACTTAGCTCTCCTGCCTCCCTACGGACCTCACAATCTCTGCTCATGGATTCATCTGTGCATATTCGCCACTTTCGCGTCTTTCTTCCTTGGCTTTCCGGGAACACTTCACTCTCCTGCTGAACTTGGTTTTGTCAGTCAGGGATTACATTCTCCCTCACTCTGCACACTGTGATCTGACTGGGGAATTGTTTCTTGATCTCATCTGTCTTGTCTTTCTTCTAGGGCAAATTAACTACCGCTTGCTCTGTTCTCCCACACACATTTTTAGAGTATTGCAAAAACAAAAACTAAAGAACCCAAAGAAGACTTTGTACCAGAGATTTTATGTGGCCCACAAAACCTAAAATATTTATTCTCTAGCCTTTTACAGAAAAAATTTTTGGGCCCCAGCTCTGGGAGGCATAAGCAGCTTTCCTCAGGGATCCAGTTTCCTTTGGTCTTGTGGTTCCATCATCCACTGAGGTCTCAGAATCTTGATTTAGCCTATGAATGGGGAAAGAGATAGTGGGAAAGGCACACCTGCTTCTTAAATATTTCAGCCCACAAGTGAAATGCATCACTGTCCGGATGCAAGGGGGCGGAACTGTCACCTCTGGTGGGGCAGCTACTCCCAACAGCTACCCAACACGGAGGAAGGGAAAGTGTGACTCTTCACTCTGTGTGTGTAGGGGGTGGGTGAGAAATATCCCACTTCTTTACCCCTCCTTCAGCTGTTAAGTAATAAAAGCAGGTTCTTTCAATTCAGCTTCTCTGGACCTGATGCAAACTCCATCAGATTTTGGCATCTTCTCTCTAAGTCATGGATCAGAAAACTGAAACTATTATAAGGAAACACCTGCTTTGTACCAGGTACTATGGTGGATGCTGGTGGGGGGGGGGGGGGCACCTGCTCAGTACTAGGCCTCATGATGGGTGCTGGGAAACACCTGTTCTGTACCAGGATGCCCCTCAGCATCCACCATGGGGCCTGGTACAAAGCAGGTGTCCTGTGCATTTGCTAGCCTGACCTGCACACAAGTTTGGAGGAATAAGGGAAGGAAAATTCTTCCCAGTGAAGGCAGGACTATCAAACTTGAGTCACAGCTGGAAGGAGTAAGATTTAGAAATAATAGTAATTCATGGATGAGGCAACTAAGCTAGTAAATTGCAGAGCCAGGGTTTGGCCCCATATCTGCTTAACTCTAAATCCCATGCTCTATGAAAAAATGAACATTTCAGAAAACTGTACTATGAAACCTGTCTATAATACAGCAGGTCAAGCCAGGCTTCTACAGTATGTATGTGCAGTGAGTGTTTCTGTTAGGAAAGGCATCTAGGAAAGATGAGCACTGTTCCTAGGCTGCTACATTATAAGCCAAATTGCAAAGGGGAGAAGTGCTCAGGAATTATACCCTGAAATTTCCTGGAGCCAGCAGATGCGTGAAATGGCTGGGGCAGCCATGCAATTATTCAGCCAGGAAGCCAGTGTTTATAGACTGCCTGTTATAGGGATGTTGAAGAATGGACTTAGCCGTGGTGAAGATACATGAAAGAATCTGAAGACTTTGACCTTTTTCTGATTTTGTATCTCTCCATGCTTTCATTGCTAGGAAATCAAGAAATGTTGAAGGCAGAGGAATCAGTTTAATTCTTTTTTAGGGGAAAGAGCAAGGGTTTTAGACACTGGCAAACCTGGATTCAAATTCCATTTCAGGCATTTGTGACCATAGGCAAAACATCATTTATTTTCCTCCAAAGAATCAGAGATATTGAATAATTCACCCAAGGTTACAGAACCAGTACATAATTGTTTCAGTTATCTATTGCTGCTTAACAAGCCACTCCAAAATTTACTGACTTAAAGTAACAACAATCAGTTATTTAGCTCGTGAATCTGCAATTTGAGGAGGGCCCAGCAGGGAAGGCTGGTGTCTGCTGGGCCAGCTCCACTGGGAGGCTAGAGAATTTATTTCTCAGACGGCTTGTTCACCTGGCTGGCATGATGGTGCTGATTGTCAGTGGGAGCTCAGCCACGGCTGAGAGCTGGGGACCTTGGTTCTCCTCACCCTGGGCCTTTCCACAGGCTTCTTGGGTTTCCTCACACTATGGTGGCTGGGTTACAAGAAGCAGGAAGAGGAAACAGTTTCTTAAAGCCTGGGCCTCAAAACTGGAGTAGCATCACTTCCATCTTATTCTATTGTCAAGCAGTCACAAATCCCAGATTTAAGAGGACTGGCCATAGACTCTACTTTTTAGTGGGAAGACATGTCAAAGAATTTGGGGCTATATTTTAAAACTACTACTCAGCCATAAAAAAGAATAAAATTGTACCATTCACAGCAATATGGATGAATCTTGAGGGCATTATGTTAAGTGAAATAAGCCAGATAGAGAAAGACAATCTCTGTATGACTCCACTCATATGTGGAAGTTAAACAAGTAAACAAAGAGAACAGATTAGTGGCTACCAGGGGAAAGGGGGGATGGGAGGTGGGCACAAAGGGGGAATTGGTGCACCTACAACACGACTGACAATAATGTACAACTGAAATTTCACAAGGTTGTAAACTATCATAATCTCAATAAAAATTAAAAAAAATATGCCACAGTAATGGACACAATGTATTCTTTCATTTAATATTAAAATGATATAGGAATTCATCTTTTTGGACCTTTTTTAGTATTTGTTTTAGAAACAGGAATTTTTTAGTGTTTCATCCATGGTTACATATTTCAAGTTGATCTTGGGACTTGGATTCAAAGTCAATCCTGTTTATTCTATCTCTTAATAGATCTGTTCTCCTCCATGTCTAGTGACCATAGTCATCATCACACAATGTTATACTTGCAACAACCTCTCAACCTTGTCTTCCTGTCTCCTATCTTCTTCCTCTCTAAACCTTTCTCAGCAATCACACTTGCTCCTTATGAAGGGAAGAGAGCATAGCATTGCTTCCCCACTTAGAACTCTTCCAGGCTTTCTGTTGTCTTCAGGCTGAAGCTCAGCTTTGTCCTTTCCCTTAACGTGGTTATAACTCTTTATGATGTTGTCCTGGCCTACTCTTCAGGTTCAACAACAATCATCTTCCCTCCATACCCTAGTCCAGGAGGAGTCAAGGTTTAAAATTTTCCCTTCTTATTTATTGACCCAAACATGATTCTAAATGCTTTAGAGGGACTATCTAATTAAAATTTTGCAACAACTCTATTAGTTAAGTTCTTTTATATTTAAAGCCAGATATACTTGAGCAGGAAGCCAAGCTCTTAACCTCTATGGTAAACTGTATCTACCTGAAGTTTCCTAAACATGCAATGTTCTCTCTGGTGTCTGGGATTTCATGCTTGTTATGTCCCCTCTACTTATCTATTTTTTATCTCACTGACATACTTGTTTTTGAGGTTCCCATTTAGAAAGCCCTCCACCCGCAAGATTTCTCTGACTCCTCAAGACTGGTTGAGATTCTCCACTATTTCTTCCCATAATATCCTGTCTTTTTTCTATCTAGAACTTTTTATTTTGTACTTAAATTTTATGTTTTCTTGTGCCACTCACAGACTATAAATTCTTTGAGGGTAGGGATATTGTCTTCACTTCACTTTCCTCTTCTGAGGTGAAAGATATTTCAGTCCAACATCCTTATCTGTTTGCTCTGAGCTGTCATTATCTATGAGGCTATGAGTGTACTGAGCTCTCACTCCCACATATGCAGACACATACCCCAAACTGGACCCAGGTAACAGAGTTTGTCATGATGGGCTTTGCTGGGGTGCATGAAACACACATCCTCTTCTTTTCACTTTTCCCCACCATGTACCTGTTCATCTTGGTGGAGAACTTGGTCATCATCTTAGTGGTGGGTTTGGACCACCAGCTATATAGATCCATGTATTTCTTCCTGATGCACTTGTCTTGCCTTGAAATCTGGTACATTTCAGTCACAGTGCCTAAGATTCTGGCTGGTGTAGTTGGGATGCGTGGGGAAAAGAATATCTTGTTTGCTGGCTGCCTGTTTCAGCTCTTCATCTTCACCTTCCTTGGGGCAACTGAGTGTTTCCTACTGTCTGCCATGGCCTATGACCACTATGTGGCCATTTATATGCCTCCCCAATATGGGGCCTTGGTGTCTAGGGGCACCTGCATCCATCTGGAAGCTGCTTGTTGGCTGGTGAGCTTCCTCATACCTACTTGGCCCATCTACCTCATGTCCCAGCTGACATTTTGTTGCCCCAATGTCGTTGACCACTTCTTCTGTGATGCGTCACCCCTGCTTGCCTTGTCCTGTTCAGATGTCATCCTAAAGGAGACCATAGACTTCCTGGTCTCTCTGGCTGTGCTCCTGGCCTCCTCTGCAGTCATTGCTGTGTCCTATGGCAACATTGTCTGGACACTGCTGCACATATGCTCAGCTGCAGACAGCTGGAAGGCCTTCTCCACTTGTGCAGCTCACCTGAGTGTAGCGAGCCTCTTCTATGGCACGCTTCTCTGTATGTACGTCCAGAGCAAAGTGGCCTCTTTCATCAACTTCAGCAAGGTGGTGATTCTTCTACTCCATTGTCATGCCAATGCTCAACTCTCTCATCTATAGTATTTGGAACAAGGAGGTGAAGGGAGCTCTTGGCAGAGCCTTTTCTCTCAAGTCTATGACAGGTCAGTGAGGAGACAGGTGGAGACTCAGTTTCCTTGCGTTGGCTCTTTAGAAGGAGAATAGTGAGGACTATGGAATGGAGCTATACCTGGGTAGTCAGGAGTCATGGAATATGTATTAGTTAAAGCAAAATACTAATCTGTTATAACAAGAGAGACCTAACTATAATGTAGCCAGAGAATGAAGGATATTTTGTCTTTCCTACAAGAGTCCAAAGTGAATGCTCCAGGTTTGTGGGTGACTTTGCTCAATAGGTATTCAAGAATACAAGTTCCTTCCATCTTTTAGAGTCAGCATCCCCTGGGATTTTGGCAAATTAAAGCCAATGGGCCAAATCCAGCTCAGGCTTTGTTTTTAATGAGCTCTGAGCTAAGAATTTTTTTATATACAAATCAAAAGTAGATTAATATTTCACAACACAAATATTTCATAAAATTAAAATTTCAGTGTCTATAAAATAAGTTTTACTAGAACACAGTCCTACTATATGTGTTGTCCATGGCTGCTTTTGTGCTACAATGACAGAATTGAGTAGTTGGGACGGATACCACTTACCAACCTCCAATCCAGGGCTTTCTTATTTGCATGGTTGACCCCGGGCCACAGTGGGCAAGAAAGGTGAGGATAGAGAATGGAGGAGACACATCCTGTATCTTAAAGTTTCTCCATTAGATGCAGCAATCATCATTTCCATTCAACTCTGTTGGGGAGAAGTTAGCCATAGGTCACATCTACTTGCAAGACTGCTAAAAATAGTCCACAGTTGGGAACCAGATATCCACTGACAATGTCATTATCATGGAAAAAGAGGAAAGCAAATTGTGGTAGACAACAAGCAGTTTCCACCACAAAGTCCCCAGAGTCACAGCTGATTTTCCATGTGATCTATGTACTTATCTTCTGTGTATCTACATTCTATTATTTGAAATATAGACTGATCCTCCCTCTATACCAAATGGTCTATGAAAACTGATTTAAGAAGATCTCTATAGCAACGTCGGCTCACTTGAAGTGAGGTTTAAAGAAACAATTATAATTCAAGTAGTTCCTATGTGTAGATAGTTGCATTCATAAAGATATTGCCAATCATGATTTAAATGTGGATTCCAAAAGCTATAGCAGGTGGAAGAGGAAAATATCAAGCTTGGGACTGGGTCAGGGGAAGGACAGATCTTCTATGATGATGTTTCTCAACTGGCCAATAATGAGCAGATCCTATGATGATGCCCTTGAACATCACAGTCTCTACCCCTCTCCCCCAGCCCAGTATCCCAAATGTTGCATTTTTAGTAGTTAACAGAGAGGGCACAAATCACATATTTTTAAAACCATTTTACTTATTAAATATTTTATCAGTAATGCGTAACATCAGTAATGTTCTTTTGGATGACGACAATATGTAAAAACAGTGCAATGATGAGGACCTTCAGGATCAAATATAAGAATTCAACTGAATAAAATAGAAAGAGTAGATACTTTCAGGTACCTCACCTGAGTAGATAGGACACAAAATAAATTTTACTTTAAGGTTTCTGGCTGATGGAAATAAAGAAAAAGTTACTGGGTGTATTATCAGAGTTCTCCAGAGAAACAGGGTCAACAAGCTATATCTGTATCTATACGTTTGCTATAGGAATTGGCTCATGTGATTATGGAGGTTAAGGAGTCACAGGATTTGCCATTTCAAACTGGAGAACTAAGAAAACCATTGGTGAATTCAGTCTGAGCCTGAAGGCCTGAGAACCAGAGGAACCTATTTGTAACTCTTGACCTAAATCCAAAGGCCTAAGAACCAGGCATGCTAAAGTCCAAAGGCAGGAGAAGAGGGAGGTCTCAGCTCAAGCAAAGAGCAAATTCAGCCTTTACCTGCCTTTTTATTCAATTCAGCCATTCAATGGATTGTATGATGCCTATCTGTGTTGGTGAGGACCATCTTTTTTACTCAGTCTACTTTTTCAAATGCTAATCTCTTCAGAAACACCCTCACAGGTACACCCAGAAATAAGGTTTTACCATCTGTCTGGGCATCCCTTAGTCCAGTCAAGTTGATATACGAAGTTAATCATCACACTGGGCTCCGTAGTTCTCATTTATGGTAGCTGAAAGACTTCAATTACAAGCACAGGGAGTATTTCTGGATTTTTAGAACTACTCTAAAAACAACTTATGGAAAGTATCAGTAAAGCTTACAATTTTAAGTACCTTGAAGAAGAAATCTATATTTTTGAGATAAATTACATAGAATGGTAAAAACTCTGAGTTGTACACTTAAAAATGATACTAAAATGTAAAAGTAAATCTTTTTTTTAATAAAATCACATATAAGAAACTAAACTGAATAAAAGGCTTTTGTGAATGTGTTTATTACATTTTAAACAACTACTCCCTTAAAAAACAGACCTAACTACAAGAATCTGTGGTGCTGGTGAGATTTATGATATGTATAGATATTGATAGCTAAAGTTTTTAAAGCCACTGGTAATGGTAGATTAATCTGAAATAAAGATAAATTATGAAATCATATCATGGAAAATGCATATTTCTGTAAATAGGGAATTTCTGAGAATATAATTCCATCTTTGAGAGTATATTTATTCATTGAGTGAAACACAGACCCGTGAAGTGCTAGATTAACATAAACAGCACTTCTTTAGTACTCAGAGACTATCACAGGGAGTTGTTCCAGAGAGAAACAAGACTTATAAGATAGAATTCTGTAAGGAGTGCTGCTGATCTTGTTGTGCCCACTCTGAGTACTAGGATGTTGGCTTAATTGTTGACTAGGACTACCTGGTAACCACCCTGGAGAAGGTCCTTTGACTTGGGACTTGGTGAGAAGGACTGGATCTACACTTTGAAATAGAACTCTATCATTTGCTGTGCAAAATTATGTAACATAGTCAAAGGCTTTGATAAAGGTCTACTTCGCAAAGGCCCATCTGGACCTCCTTCTATGATCCCAGGTTCTTCTTATCCCTTGAACCTGTGTGGGGATTCCAATTTCTTTTTTCAGGGTCCTTAGTCTTTGTTTGGTCTCTTCATTTTCAATTTTTAGATGCCAAGTCCTAAGCAGTTGATCCAAGGTATGTTTGTCAAATGCTGTCTTTGCTATGGAATGCCACAGCTCTCTGATTCTCTAAATTCAGTTTTCTTTATCTATATCCTTGTTTCCTTTGGTGACTTCATTGTCATTGGTCTAAATAACATTCTTGGCCACCCATGGCCAGATAGGAGCATTCTGAACTCCTCTTAGCAGGAACTTAAAATGAATCTCATTGCCCAGAAACATGGATGCCTTGATACCTTGTCATTGCCATCCCTCCTCAGGGAGCAGTCCAGGAGCACTGTCATTTAATTAATAGATGCCCAGCATTTTGTGGGCTTCGTTAGCATCCTCACACTCTCATGGAGGTGGAGGGGCTTCATTTAGAGCAGACTTTGCTCTAGTGGTTGCTCTGGCGTATGACTGGGTATGTGACAGTCACCTGTCCTCATCTACCCAAACACAGGCAGCTAACAAGAGCAGGTTCCGGTTGTTTACTTCTTATAAAACAGGTTCACAATAAATATATTCAGTTCTCTCTGATCAGGTTAGGTTGGAAATGTTAGATCACAAGCTCTTTGTGTGTAAGGACTATACTTTAACCTCTCTGAAGGTCCCTCCCAGGACCTAGCTTGGAACAAGTTTCCCACAAAAGTTATTCAGCAACAGATTAAGAGATCAGGTTTGCCATTAAGTATAATTTTATGGAATTTTTTAACAAATGCTAGCTTAACTCTTGCTATGTCCTGGGTACTATTCTAAATGCTTTATAAATATTAATTCATTAACTCCTCATTGATAACTCCACAAAGTCGATGCTATTATTATCTTCCTTTACACACAAGAAAACTGAGGTACAGAGAAGTTAGATAACTTGCCCAAAGTCACGCAGCTAAGAAAATGGCAGAGCTAGGGATTGAAACTCGTTCATCTGACTCTTAACGTCTGCTCAATGACACCCTTGGTAAATTGGTCCTTTCTCTTGGCATCAGTTCCTTTATCTGTAAAAGGGCAAGGTGGACTGGATGACTTCAAATATCCACCACATGAAGGTTTAATATGTGCTGAGCACTTTCACACATTTTCTTATTTCATCACCATAACAACCTGAAAATGAAGGCTTAGCTCACTTTACAAGGGAGGAAACTGAGGCTCAATGAGGTCAAGTAACATGCCAAAGTCCACATAGCTACAACATGGGGAGCCAGGAGGATCTGCACCAGGTCTTTTTGACTCTGTTCCACCATACCACCTCGATGCTTCCTCTCGAAGATCTCTTCCAATGCTAACTTTGCATAAGTTGATTTATTCACTCATCAACCAACTATTCTGTCTCCTCTCTGTACCAGGCACTGGCTGTCTGCTAAGGGGCCACAGGATGAATTAGACCAGATGCTTCCATCAAGCACAATATTATTTGTAAACAAGTCTCCTCTCCCTCTGGTAGAATGAAATGCAAAATAGAAGCAGCTAAGTGACCAGGAGGAGTTAAGACTAGCGTGATGGGGCTCAGAGGAAGGAAGGTTTTCCTGGTGGTGAGCTTAGGGAAGGCATCCTTGAGAAAGCAGCACTCTTTATGGTCCACTTCTAATTTTCTCACTTGAGATGATACCTGCCAAGCATTTGTTCTTTTGTGTTCTTTTTGGGATGGAGAAGGATGATGTAGCATTTGGGAAAGAAGAAGCAGGACATGAGGCCTCCTCCTGATGCTAAGATGGCAAAGACCTCCACAGCCACTGTGTCTTTGCCTTGGGCACTCATGTAGGCAGGGATGAAGGACACCCAGACACAGGAGCAGACCAACATGCTCACTGTGATATGCTTTGCTTCATTGAAAGTGTCAGGCAGCCGGCGGGCAGGGAAGGCCACCAACAAGCTGACCAGACCTAGCAAACCCAGGTAACCCAGCATGGT